TCCCCACCATCTCAAAATGTGCCTTGTAGGTTGGCTTTTCCTTCATTTTTAAAAGGCAGGAACCACATGACTTTTTAACTTATTGGATGTATGTGATTCTTTTCTAGAATAAAATCCAGGTTTCAGCTAATTGGCAGCAATGCAAAAAAGTTTCCTAAATTGATTACATGTCACTGTGCCATGTAATGTATATCTGTATATCTGAAGGAGTGTCTCCACCCCATTGTTCAGCCTGGACAGTGCCGAGGGCCTTCTGGCAGTTCCCTAAGAGCAAGAAGTGAAGTTACAGGGAACCAGGCAGAGGACCTTCTTGGTAGTGGCACTCGCCCTATGGTACGCCCTCCTGTCACATGTCAGTGAAATAAATAACTATATAGCTTTTAGAAGACATCGGAAGGCAGCCCTGTATCGGGAAGTTTTTAATGTTTGACGTTTTATTATGTTTTTATATGTGTTGGAAGCTGCCCAGAGTGGCTAGGGAAACCCAGCCAGATGGGTGGGGTACAAATAATAAAACTGTTGTTGTTCTTTAGGGTTGCCATTTGTATGGAATTTCCCGGACATATCCAGAATACCGCAGTCTGCAGCAGTGCCCAGGTGGAAATCAGCAAAAATGTCCATGAAAATCCGAACGTATGGTGACCCAGGTTGGAAGTTTTGTTTTTGCCGAGTTCCCATAAAAATAGCACAAAAACGTCTTTTTGTGTGTGACAACTTTTCTGTCTGGATTTTCACTTTTTGAAATATGGCAACCCTATTGTTATTAGTTCATTGTTCTTTGCTATTGTTATTATTGTTATTTAGGTGTTGTCATCTTTTGTCATCTTTCCCTACACCTCATTCTTAAATACTGTGGTTTCCCAGGTTTCTGAATATGCTCCCCTGGACCACAAAATATGGGGGATGCCTGTCATCCTATATATAATATTGTGGCCTTCTAGGCAAGATTGTTCAGTTCGTTTAGAACGTTCTTATCTATCCTCTGAATAAATGCTGTGAAATGAGAGTTTAGTAGAACAATCCTCTCAATTAGTAAATCTCTCTCCAAACAGTGAATCATCTTAAAGTCATCTCAGACATTGACAATTTGTCTTTCCACCCAAGATGTTTTAACAACACACAGCTATAAATTCCAAACTTGATAGAATTGCTGCAGTAAAAAAAACCACACCAATGTCAGGTTGCCTGTCCTCAGACGCTCTCTGAAATCACAGTGCTGCACGTATTGTTCTTTAAGAATTTAAATGCCTTCCATTCTTGAAAGGAAGTGTTGTGTAGTGGTTAGGGTGTTACTTCAGAAAGGAAGGCATCTGGATTCAACTTCCCACTCAACCATAAATCTTGCTGGGTAACAATAGCTAGTTACCCCACCAACAATATACATTTAAAGCAGCATCATAACACTTTAGATAGTCATGGCTTTCTACAAAGAATCCTAGGAACCTGCCATTTGTTCAGGGTGCTGAGAATTGTTAGGAAACCTCATTCCTCTCCCAGAGTTCCCTGGGGAGAGAGGCTATACCCTCCAGCATTTCTCTGATATAAATAGAGATGATCAAATTACTTTAATAGTGGCTGAATTTTTGAGTGATGTCCATGTAGAAAGACTGGGCCATTATAAAGAGATTTAGTGGTTCTTAACTGATTGGTGATGTGGTAGTATTGTATTGTATTACTTATGTAAATTGATTTTCTCTGGAGTTTAAGATCTGACTGGGACAAACTTTGCTATGTTGAGCTCGTATTTTGCACAATTTGTATACAGTGTCTGTTTGATAATGTGTGGTTTGCTATGCCTAATAAAGGATGTGTTGTTGTTGGAAATAGAGACGTACTATTCCATACCCTCCAACATTTCTCAGATGAAAACAGGGGCATCCTAAGGAAAAGCGGGACATCAAATCAGAAACTGGGATAGCTTCTGTAAATCTGGGACTGTCCTTCGAAAATAGGGACACTTGGAGTGCTAAACCACTGTTGGAATCGTAACTGTGAGGGAAATAGGGGTGTTCTAATGCAGGGCTGCTATACGTCCAGATTTTCCCTGACATTACCAGAATTTCAAAGGTGGATGTCCGGGGAGAATTTTATTTCTGAAAGGTGGTGATCTTTTTTGGTGGTTTCCTTAAAAAAGGCTCAACAATTTTGGGGCCTTCCTAAAAACAGCCCAACAACTTTTGGGGTGTCCTGGTTTTAACTTTTTGAAATACGGCAACCCTACCTAATAGCTCTCATCACCACTAACAAACTACAGTTCCCAAGGTTCTTTGGGAGATACAATGACTGTCTAAAGGGGGATTATCAGAAAGAATGATACTTTTAGGCTCAGCAATTAGCTTTTCAATGTCTAACTCGATTCAAGATGAGTCAGCAACTTTAACCCCCCCCCCATTTAGATGTAATAAAAAACAGTAAAAGAAAATCTGAATATGTGAGATGGACAAATCAGTCAATTTTGGTTTCTTTCAGTTTCTCATTTTTCCAGTCTTAAATTCAGCTATTCACATTTCCAGCAGTTTTGTGGCACTTAAAAAAATAATAACTTAAAAAACCTTGTGAAAATTCACCAGCAATTTATTGCAATTTTCTACCAATGTACACATTCTCACTTGCAGTTTTTCCTAACCTATGCATATTTTTTGCAAGGGGTTCCCCCCCCCCAAAAAAATATAATGCATTTTCATAGCTTATTTATTTAAATAATTATAGACTGCACTTTATATTTAAAAATATGGCAAGGTGATGTGCAACATACAAAGTTACTTTGATCAAACCCTATGGAAAAACGTAAGAAATTGCATCACAAAATAAATAAATAAATAAATAAATAAATAAATAAATAGCTAGCATAAATAAAAACTGCTTGGGGATTCGTGTTCCAATGCTCTGTTTTAATAACACTGTTGTTCTTTAACATTATTTCATAATATATGCATTTTATGCACACTTTCCCCTAATATATGCATTTTGGTCTCCATTGCTTGGCTGCAGAAATGGGTGATGGACTAGACCATGGGCAGGCAACCTAAGGCCCAGGGGCCGGATGCGGCCCAATCACCTTCTCAATTCGGCCCGCGGACGGTCCGGTAACCAGCATATTTTTACATGAGTAGAATGTGTCCTTTTATTTAAAATGCATCTCTGGGTTATTTGTGGGGCATAGGAATTCGTTCTCCCCCCCCCCAAAAAAAATATAGTCTGGCCCCCCACAAGGTCTGAGGGACAGTGGCCCCCTGCTGAAAAAGTTTGCTGACCCCTGGACTAGACAAATCCATGGAGGAGAAGACTATCAGTGCCTACTTATGAATGGTGCATTTTGAAAGATAATTGCTTGTTGGTTCACATGTTGGTTCCAGAAGTGTGAATTTGTTAGTTTCCAACTGAAATTCATACAATACTCAATTTATTTTGCATTCCTATTGCAAGAAATGGGGAAGGGGATGTGATCCTCCATTGCCTGGGAAGCAGGAGATCATAGCTCCTTCTTTTGGGAGGAGGTTGAACTTCCCCTGACTCTGTTGACCTCACCGCTGAACCACCATTTAAGAATCACAAGCAATTGCACACCCAGGAAATTGGGCTGCGATGTGACAAAGGCTGTTCTGACTCTGACGTGGACAAAAGAATCACTTCGGGAGCATTCGACCCACAGGAAGGACCCCACCTATGGGGTGCACGGTGATGAAGAGCCAATGAGCAAAGGAAGGTGAACAGTTACAAATAATGAAATCACTTCTTGAAACAACTTTTGGGTGTTGCATGTAGAAAAATGTTGTTTGCAGCTAATTAGAGCTTAATGAAAAGAAAGTGCACCTCCCCTCCAGGATGATATAAAAAGCCAGAAGATCCCGAGCAAAACTATCAACTTCTCTCGACTCGAGACATCCCACTCGAGTTCTTCTCATTGCAGAACCTGGTAAGTTTTGCTTATATACCTCCTAACTTGCGCAGAACCTCTTGGTGATTTCTCCCCTCTCTAAATTTGCCTTTGACTTTCTTTCCTCCGGGTTGCTGTTGGTTCATCGATTTTGAAAAAATGGCTTTATCCCATGTTTGTCCTACTCAGAATGGACCATTGACGATCATGGACATGAGCCACTTAGGTTCATTAATTCCAGGGGGTCTGATCTTAGATGCAACCCAAAGTCATCCATATTCTCGGCAGAGGAACTTTCCTATCTTTTGCTAGTTGCCAAAGGGTAGAAACTAAATGTGCATTTTGGTGAGTGGAGCTCTCTTGTGCTGGGGTCCTGCTTGCAGGTTTCCCATAGGTATCTGGGTGACCACTGTGTGAACAGGATGCTGAACTAGATGAGCTATTGGCCTGATCCAACAGCGCTCTTTTAGTTTTTCTTATAGTATTAGACCAAGGATGTCCAACCGGTCCAGCCGCGATTGACTGGTTGATCCTTGGGAGGTTTAACCCTCCCTAAAAAAAAAAAAAGCTCAACAATTTAGACCTGAACCCCCCCCCCCAAAGGGATAGATCACTGCCATTTTTTTTTTATTCTGTGAGTAGATCACAGTCTCTTGGGAGTTGGACGTCCCTGGATTAGACAAATTCATGGAGGATAAGCCATAATGGCTGTGTTCTGCCACCACTGTTGGAGGCAGTATGTCTCTGAAAATGAGTTAATTGAATCCCCCCAGTGTGTTGTAGTGGTTAAGAGAGGTAGACTTGTAATCTGGTGAACCGGGTCTGCGTCTCCACTCCTCCACATGCATCTGCTGGGTGACCTTGGGCTAGTCACACTTCTCTGAAGTCTCTCAGCCTCCCTCACCTCACAGAGTGTTTGTTGTGGGGGAGGAAGGGAAAGGAAGATGTTAGCTGCTTTGAGACTCCTTTGAGTAGTGATAAAGCGGGATATCAAATCCAAACTCTTTTTCTTCTTCTTCTTATGTTCTTTAAGCAGTTCCTAATGCTCCTATGATCTATATTTCTCAGCTCCTAACTCCCACTCTAATCTCTTCCTTTAGATCCAGGCACCACTCCTGCAAAGATGTCTTGTGGAAGGAACGAATGCTATGCCAGCTGCCCTGCCTCCACCGTCACAATTCAGCCGCCTCCCTTTGTCCTGACCATCCCTGGACCAGCCCTCTACTGCCCTGACCAACCACTTTGCATCGAGCAGTGCAACCCTTGTGCTGCCATCCAATCCAGTGAGGAAGTAGCTCGTGGTGGATACAGCTCCGTCTCCACTGGTTACACCTCCTCAAGCCGCCAGTCTCAGAAGTCGCTGCCCAGAACCCAGAAGGAAAGCAGCTCTAGCCGACGTTTCTAGACCCAGGAACCACAGGATGAAGATGATGGAAAGCAGAGAATTTGGAACCAAGAGACGGGATCCGTTACAGATATTGGGTTGTCTCCAGTGATGTTCTTCTCAGAGTGAACCCATTGAAATTGATAGATCTAAATTTGTCATGTCAGTTTATTTTAATGGATCTAAGTTAGCCATGTCCATTAATTTTAATGAGTCTACTTTGAGTAGACCTTACGTAGGGTACGGCCCATTGATGTTAGAAATCCATGCTCACCATGTATAATGTGTGTGTTACAGGCCTTTTTTAAGTTAAAGAAAATCTGTTTCTGGGAACATTGATTTACACCTGCCAAGGAACATCAGTGTGTCACAGAGAGACTCTGGATCATAGTCTAAGCATTGCATTCAGTTCATTTTGGGTACTGATGAGATTTTTTTTGGTTCCATTGTTGCCTGAGCTGAATATGTACTATAGAAAACACCAACACTGTGGCAAAAGAGTATGGTCAGAGATGGTTGAGCAAGCCATACTTGCAGGACACTTCCCCACAACTACTAATATTCTCACTGAGAGATCCCTGATAAGCTTCTAAGGGACACCCATGTTCCTCAGAAAACAACTTCTTGCAGTCTATTTCCTATCTCAAAAAGAAAAAAAAAAGCAGTCTCAACTCAGCAATGTAGCAGGCGGACCTCCAGCTTGCAGCAGCAACATCCTCAATGCTTTCTGTGTTTAACAGCTATATCTGATTTTGTACCCCTGTAGTACCAGATGTTTCACTTTTCTTTCAAAATAAAGTCATTTCCTGCATCAAAAACCCAGTGTTTCCTCCGACGGTCATTTTCTCTTACTTACTTTTAACCCAGGATATCATCTTTCCTGGGGAAATGAATCAAGTTCAGGGCTGAAGGACATAAGCATGGTCTTGTTCTCTCAGATCAAGGATTCATGCACTGTCAGTGTCCCATAGTGCAGTGGTGGCTGGTGCCCAATGGGGCGGCAGAGAGACATAGATGGAGCCAGAGACAATGATAGGCAGAGCCACCCCCTAAGTAAGTTTGCAGGCAGTTGGGGACTGGGTGAGGGCAGACTGAGGTTGGTGGGACAGTGCCCTGATTTTCCCTAATGGACCAGCCACCACTGGATGCATTGAAAGGTGGGTCCTCCTTTGCTGGAGGCATTTAAGGAGAAGCTGGATGGCCCATTCCATCAGGGATGCTGAAGTAGAGCATTTACTGCATCCAAAGAGATTGTCAGGGATTGGACTCAAGAGGGCAAGAGAGAGGAGGAGGAATGGTGGAGATCACCGCCCCACTTCTCCTGACTCTGCAGAAGGAGAGGAATGCAGTATTGAATTACAGCAGGGCTTTGAGGAGTTTGAGGGAAGTCACAGCTCAGAGACAGGCGGACAAAAGAGTCGGGAAGTGCTAGAAGAAGGGTGTATGTGTGGAAGGTCAACCAGCTGACACATTGTCACTGGAGAGTATTTCTGATCCTCCTTCCCCCAGAACTTGGCAATCATTAAGGGTGCAGGAACAACGGAATCAGAGACATTTGACCACAGGTGGCCACCGTAAGGGAAAGTGCTGCTGCGTGGCAAGGTCCCAAACCTTCCCGGGAAGTGGAATAAAGACACATGAAACAGTATTTTTGGTTAATGGGGGGGAAAGCCACAACTTTATTGGTTACAGAATGTGAGTGGTATTGGCTTAGACATTGGAAACCACACAACTATATCTGACTCCTGCCCGTCTGCAGGAGTCTTGTCAGGGTTAACCACCAGTAGGGAGAGCCCTGATGATGCACATCAACTAGGGACTCCCTCAGGGTTGTGCCATGGTCCTAGCCCCCGTCTGGGGCTTTGGACGGAGACCACGCCCCCCTGAATCCTTTAATAGAATACCCTTGAATTAGGAGGGGTAGGTGATGGCCACTACCTCCCCTCACCTTCAACCGGATACTCCAATGCCTAATCGCCAAACCTTACAAAGCTGTGACGATTTGTTACGAGGTAGGCGAAAAAAGCAAATGGCCAGTGCCAATTTGCCAAGTGGAAAAATTCCTACCAGGCCCCTTGGACAACCAAGACAACCAACCGAGGTCCATAGCAAGGTCAAGAAATAAAAGAGCCTAACCTAAGGGAGGGAGGACAAGATAACTGGCAGAGCAGGGAGAAAAACAGGGGCGAGCCCTCAGCCATGGGCAGTTTAAATAGCCCGCGCCACGCCCCCGGACCGTCCGAACTGGACGGCCTAGGGCTGATGTGGCCGAGGACCATCCAATAGTGAAGGGGCGATCCTGCTCTATGCGCGTGGGGAGGGCTTGCTCCCAGCCCACAACGACATCTCCCCGGGAGCAGGAAATGGCTTTGCCGGGAAGCAGGGGGGTGGAGCCCAGCTTTGAGCAACACCATTGTTAAGGCTTGTTGCATTCTTTTGTCTCTCGCTATTAGGATTGAATACAAATAATTAAAAAGAACTCTATCTTGTTTTCTCTGCTCTTGCTACAACCGGGGGGCGGGGGGTAGCTTTCCCGAAGCCTTGACAGAGCCTTGACAGAGACACAGGCACCTAACACCACAGTGCCTTAATTGGTTATACAGAACAGTGAGTGGTGCCTCTTGGAGCTTTTAAGGCACAAGCACTGGGATATGGCATGTATTTTGGATGTGCCCTAAAATTAGAAAATGCTGGGAAGAAACAACATTGGAAATTGAAGTAAGAATGGACTGTATTTTCCTTGGGTCATCTATTTTTACTATTTGTAGATGCTAAAACTGATAGAACACAGGGAACTGATACATCTCTTAACTAATTGGTTTTGGTGGGCACTGCCCCACTGGGAGACTCATTAAGAAGACTCCTTGAGCTATATTAGCATCCCACCCCTCAAAAAAGGAAGAAAGAAAGAAAGAAAGAAAGAAAGAAAGAAAGAAAGAAAGAAAGAAAGAAAGAAAGATGGACCCAGAATGAATGGCAGGCTTGAGTTTTGTTCCTATCCTCCTCCTTGCTGAGTCCTAGGGCAGCAGTGAGCCTTTGATGGCAGGTACTAATTGGGACTGAGGGTTGATAGAGCAGTGTCCGATTTGTTTGAATGGGCAAGTCTCCACTGATGTAGCCAGAGACTGCTGGGGCTCATCCAGAATCTCTTTTGTACCCTATCTGTAGGCATAGGTCCAGGACCTAAAGCTCCATGTCGGAGCATTGCTTGTTTGTTTGTGGTTTGATTTTGATTATTTGATATATATATATTTTCCCAGGAAAAAAACAAACAGAAAACAAGCAAGCAAACAAACAAAAACACTCAGACACAGAACTTTAAAGTACCTGGGCCTGAAAAGCACAGTGGAAAAGGACACCTGGATAAGCCCTTAGATCATGGTTAGACAAACTAAGGCCTGGGGGCTGGATCCGGCCCAATCGCCTTCTAAATCCGGACTGCGGATGGTCCGGGAATCAGTGTGTTTTTACATGAGTAGAATGTGTCCTTTTATTTAAAACACATCTCTGCATTATTTGTGGGGCATATGAATTCATTCATTTCCCCCCCAAAATATAGTCTGCCCCCCCATAAGGTCTGAGGGACAGTGGACTGGCCCCCTGCTGAAAAAGTTTGCTGACCCCTGCCTTAGATACAGCATTCTAGAATAGCCCTTTGATCCAATTGAACAAGACGGTGTCTATGTTCCTCAGCAGGGATAGCCAATATGGTGCCCTCCAGATATTTCCTATACTACAACTCCCATCACCCACTGCTGTTGACCATGATGGTTGGGGTTGGGGATGATGGGAATTGTAGTCCACATCTGGAGCTCACCCCATTGGCTATCCTTGTTCCTCAGCATTTAAATGTATCACCTCCATTTTCCCAGAGGAGACCCACTTTTCGATTAAAATTATCATGAGCATATGCAACAATAAGGAAAACAGGGATGATGATGATGATGATGCAATAAAAGCTTTATTTTGAAAGAGAAGGGAGATCCACAGTTTGAAGTCTCAGGTTTGCACAAAACATCAAAATCAGAAACAGCTATACATTGAACTCATGGAACAGTAATAAGACATGTTGCTACATGGAGGACCATCTGCCTTCAGTGAAGATGGTTTTGAAAGTGCCATGTGCAATGGAACTTGCTTTCCAATTTCTGGTTGTTGTTTTTACATTTACATAAATAGCCCACAACAGTGGTTTACAAATGGTGACATCCTCAAAAATTTAATCAGGATTTTCACAAGGAGATCTATAGATGCTGGCACATAGTTTGCCCATGTTTGTCTCCCCAAATCTGTAGCCATTGAGGAACATTGCCTCCATGTGAGCCCTAGCAGAGCAACAGGACCTCATCAGGGCCCAAGAAGAACCGAAGAAGAATGCTCAGTGATGCAATACTTGTTCTTGACAGATGCACAGGCGATTCACAGCAAGGTAGAACAGGGCCCTTGAAGGTTAAAGGTTTTGAAAACCTCTGGCTTATAACACAACGGTTGTACATGTTCAACATACATTTCTAGAAACTATGCCTACAAAATCAGTGGAGCCATTCTCTTGATTTCTTAGTCCATGCTCCTCAACACATTCATTCTGTGGATAGAGGTCTTCAGAGCTTCAATATCACTGGCAAGAGTTGCATCCACCCTCAAATCTTTTGGAATAGATGCTCGTTGAGCTCAGACCAGAGGCTGGACCACTGTAGAAGGAGCTGTATCCACCACGTCGTGCCCCCTCATGGTATGGAATCATACGAGCGCAAGGGTTGTATTGCTCAATGCCAAAGGGTTGGTCAGGGCAGTAGAGAGCTGGCCCTGGGATGGTGAGGACAAAGGGAGGTGGCTGAATTGTGACGGTGGAGGCAGGGCAGCTGGCGAAGCATTGGTTCCACTGGGCAGACATATTTGCTGAACTGGTTGTGTGGATCTGAAAGAAGACATCAGGGCGGGGAGTAGATAAAAGTGTACAAGGGTGAATTGAATCTCAAAGAATCCATGTTCAAATTTCCAAAAGACATTCAAGAATCAACAGCAGTTGGGAGGTATACAGGAAACACTGGAGAAGGAACTGGTGACCGGACTGCAATAGTGCCTAATTCACTGATGGAAGAAAAATGATGAGCTGTAGCCAACAGTTCTACTTAGAGAAAATCCATTTTAATTAATGGAAATGATTCTCTCAGGTCCATTAATATCAGTGGACCTACTTTGAATATAACTTAGTCGGATACAGCCCAACAAAAATAAAGAAAATAAACTGGAATATTATGTTGAATATTAGAGGGGACCTAATCAATATTTCAGTATAATCATAGATTTTATTATTGAGACCCGCTCTGGGACCATTTGCTGAATAGTAGATATGAAATCTAATAGATAGATAAGCATTAGCATTCTCTCTCTCTCTCTCTCTCACACACACACACACACATACATACACACCCCTTCAGTTATTCTGAGGCTACAATTCTCATAAGCCCTGATGGCCATGCTTGCTAAGACTGAGGGGAGTTGTAATCCACAACTCCTAGAGGGCAAAAGGTTGGCTACCCCAAGAGAGAGGGAGAGAGAGAAAACCAGGTAGATGACAAATCAACACATTACTAAATGATAACTTGAGAAAGAAAAAATCAAAACCACCAATACGATTTGCCCAAGTATCTCAGCTAAGCTTACCAGTTTCTGCAAGATCTCAAATGGAGTGTCTCTATGCTGAGGGAATCTGATGAGGTTCCTCAGTGTCCTCTGGGTTTTTATATGGTTCCTGAGAAGATGATGCATCAGATTCTAATTAATTTCCATAGACAATTTTTCCTTGAGTAACACTCAACTGGTTTCAAGGAGTGACATCGTGATTCGTAACTCTTCCTCCTCATTGTTGATGTTTCACCCCATTGCCTCATAGGTGGGGTCCTGTTAGTGTTATGGGTCAAGTGTTTCAAAGGTGATTTGGGGTGTTGGTTTTATTAGTTCCACAAGTACAACTGCAAAAAAATACACACAAGAAAAACAAAACCCAACAACATTTTGTGGTTCTTTTATTGGGGTGGGGTGGGATGGAATAACACCTGAAAAAATTCAAGAGGAGAGGAAAGTGTTCTGTGAAGACTAAATATATTTATTGCAGGTGATGGCTGCACATAAACATAGCCAACAATGTGATTGTATCAAGATGGTTATAAAATCAGACTCTGCACCAGATCTAGAGACTTAGCTTGACTATGTGTATTTATATACAAGAATGGCAGAACACATGGTTCTTCCTGATATAGTTTCAGATCTTTGAAGAAAATAAAATAATCAGTGATATGGATAGTAGCAGTAATAGTAAACATCTCTCTCTCAACACAGATATTTTTGATTGCTCACTTGCGCAATTGGTTGTTCTCAGCGCACATATTATTATATCGTTTGTAATTGTCTTGTGTGCCTGTGCGTGTGCACATGTTTGTGAATTCTTTCCACTTCCCCCCTTGTTTGTTGACATTAGCAACTGATAGAGATTAGGGAACAGTGCTAGTCATTTCCCCAGGGACATCTGGTTGGCCACCGTGAGAACAGGCTAGGCCTTTGGTTTGGCTGAGTAGGGATAGTCTTATGTTCTCAATGGTCTAAAGATAAGGCTACCAAAAATTGTGGAGCTCAAATCTCCCATCTGGTGCAGGATGAAGTTTTCAATGTCTACTTGCCATGATCGCCATGCCCCCTTCTCCACAGCTGGAGACACTATGCCTCTGAATATCATTTTCTAGGGAGCTTGAGTCTGGAGAGTGGGCTTCTCATAGGAGCAGCTGTATTTCCTCTCCCTTTCTCTCCCTTTTCTCCCTTCCTTTTCTCCTTTGTCCAGTCCTCCTTCCTTTTCTACCTCTCCCACTTTCCCTTCCTTATCTCCCCATTTCTTTACTCTTTCCTTCTTCCATTTCCTCTTTCTTTCTTCCACTCTTCTTTATTTCCCCTTCCCTTCATCTTCATTTTCCCTCTCTATCTACCCCTCATTTTCCCTTTCCTGTTTTTTCTTTCCTCAGTTTCTCCTCTTACCTTTTTTCTTCCTTTGTTCTTTCCCTCCTTTACTGATTCTTCCTTCCTTCACTTTCTAATTACAGCAATTGTTTTCTGTTAAATTACATTTCATAAGCAAGGCAAAATATATCACTGTCATCTATCTCTATCTATCATCTATATCTATCTATCAATCTATCTCTCATCTATCTCTATCTATATCTATCTATCTATCTATCTATCCATCTATCTAGAGCTAAATGGGAAATCTTACACATTTCCTAAAGAGTGCAGGGGCTGTAACTCATTGCACATATTCTCATGAGTTGAGGCCCTGGAATGCAACCAGGTCTTCCTACATCAAAGCTCAGAAACCATGAGGGTGACCCACACGTTTTGCTTTTTGGGAAGTTGAGGTGCCTGAAACTTACTCCCAGGTAACTGGGTAAAGGCGGTGCAATCTTACACTGCAATCCTAAGCATATTTTACTCAAAAGTAAGTCCCACTGAGTTCAATAAGATTTACTTTCTGGTATATTCCTGATCATTCTCATAGTTTCAATTATTATCATTATCATGATCACTATCTTTATTATCTCCTGCCTTTTCCCTTGACAGGAACTCAAGGCAGCACACAGCTGAAATTTTATTTCATTCCATTTATCTATTGAAGGTGTTGTACACGACCCTTTCCCTCGCACATTGCTTTCTTTACAACAATCCTGTGAGGTGGGTTAGGCTGAGAGGTTTTAATTTGCTCAACGTGACAGGTGTATAAGTGTATTTGACCGCAGGAGAAGTGCTCTGATGTGAAACAAAATGTCCCTATTTTCACCTGAGGAATGTTGAAGGGTATGGAACATAGGTCCTTCTTGCTTTCTCATGGCATGAATGTGACCTTAGAGAACCCAAAATGGACATATTTGCCTGTACCTAACTGCACAGGAAACACGAAATGAAACCATAGATCCCTGAAGTACTGTATCACTGGGGTGTTCCTGGTGCACACCCACATTCCATAGATCAAAAGAGGGACTCCCTTGGTATTTGCAAGACTTTTGTGCGCATACCATAAAAGCCTGAAACACCACCTCTCAAAACTATGATACATGGCTGAAGGCCCTTTCTCCACCCACAGCACGTTGCATGGATTTTCTTTCCAATATCTGTTTCTCTCACATCTCTGTCCTCTTGACTTGCCTTCAATGGGCGCCAGTTTCCGTAGGAACAGAGGAACAGTATTGTCTACACTGACTGGGAGTGGCTTTCTGGGGCTTCAGGCTGGATCCTTTCCCCAGCCCTACCTTGGAGATGCCGAAGATTGAACTTGTGAACTTGTGCGTGCAAAGCAGATGCTCTACAACTGAGCTATGGCCCTTCCCTGAAGCAGCATGTCTTGCGATACGAGCTTTGAGGTTCCCTCCCTTCACTGTTATTTTCCAGGTGAGCAATGAAGACCATTTATACTATGCAGAATTTTTAGCTTTCAGATTTATTACCTATCAGTTGCTATTTTTAAAAAAGCACACAAACCCTCCTAACTGTTGAAGGTCATATCAACACCACACATTTTAAACAGCCATGGCTGCCCCAAATAATTCTGGGAACTGTAGTTTATTACAGTCAATGAGAGTCATCAGGTTATTTCTATTCCCCTCACATAGCTACAATTCCCAGTGCAGTGGAATGATAAATACTGCTTCACCAGGAACTTCTGCAGGCAAATGTACTGCTCTGCTTTGCTTTGGACTACATCAGCGAGGCCTAGAGGGGGGTCTTGTCTTCTTGGCAGCCCAGGACCTCCATACATTGGCTCCCAGTACATTTCTGAGCACTATTCAAAGTGTTGGTGCTGACCTTTAAAGCCCTAAATGGCCTTGGCCCAGTATATCTGAAGGAGTGTCTCCACCCCCATCGTTCTACCTGGACACTGAGGTCCAGTGCCGAGGGCCTTCTGGCAGTTCCCTCGCTGCAAGAAGCCAAGTTACAGGGAACCAGGCAGAGGGCCTTCTCGGCAGTGACACCCGCCCTGTGGAACGCCCTCCCACCAGACTTCAAAGAGAACAACAACTACCAGACTTTTAGAAGACATCTGAAGGCAGCCCTGTTTAGGGAAGCATTTAATGTTTGATGCATTACTGCATTTTAATATTTTGTTGAAAGCAGCCCAGAGTGGTGGGGAAGCCCAGTCAGATGAGCGGGGTATAAATAATATATTATTATTATTATTATTATTATTATTATTATTATTATTATTAAACTTACAAGAAAGGAGATTCTGACAAAACATCAGGAAGAACTTTCTGAAACAAAGAACTGTTTGACAGTGGGAACGGGCTCCCTTGGAAGGATGTGGGCTCTCATTCATTGGAAGTTTAAGCAGAGGTTGGGTGTCCATGTGACATGGATGCTTTAGCTGACATTCCTGCATTGCAGGGGGTTGACCTAGATGATCCTCAGAGGTCCTTCCAGCTTGACAAGTCTTTGACTATGATTCTATACCCTTCTCTGAGTTCAAGAACACATTGCAGCCAACGTGTGTGTGTGTATGTGTGTGTGTAGCAGGACAAGTGAGGACATGTGGTCAGGGGAGAGCCAGATAGTGAGACCTAGAAAGCTGCATTCACACACACACACCAGGCTTGAAGTGCACCAATCTGACCAAGAGGAATTGCAATAATTCCTTTTCAGTAGACTCTTTCTGCTAGCCTCCAGGGTGTTCTGCGTGGAACTGTATTTAGCGAACCACAGCAAATTGCTAGGGCTTGAAATGGCTATAATTACTCCAAGTCATTTTCTGCGGCCATTGCTTAGTGAATAAATAACGTTCCACCTCAAGCCAAGAAACAACGTTATTCCCCAAGGTTTGTTTACTTTCTGATCCTTCTGTTTCCAGGGAGGGTTGATACATGCCTTGTCAAGAGCATCCAGCTGTGACATGCTGGGTCATTTATGCAAAACTGATGGCAGGTACACATGTTTAACTTCCATTACGTCTCTGGCATCAAAGGGGAGACTCGATGGGCCACTTGCCAGCCATTATTTGTAACCATCATTAGCAAACATCATTTGTAATCACTGGCCTGCTTCCAGAGGGCTGTTTCAGACATGCCCGAGAGGGCTAGACTGGCCCGGTTAGATTTCTGTAAGACTATGAAACAATTCAAGAATGTGTATGGTACATGTGGTACATGTGTTGAATTAAGACCATATGGCACATCAAAAGAGGGAGAGGAAAAGATCATAGTGGGTTTTCTCAGGGTGTGAGGCTGAGGAATGTGGGAAACCTCTCAGGTGAGAAGAAGCAGAAGCATTTGGATTTGATATCCGCTTTATCACTACTCGAAGGAGTCTCAAAGCAGCTAACATTCTCCTTTCCCTTCCTCCCCCACAACAAACACTCTGTGAGGTGAGTGGGGCTGAGAGACTTCAGAGAAGTGTGACTAGCCCAAGGTCACCCAGCAGCTGCATGTGGAGGAGCAGAGACACGAACCCGGTTCAGCAGATTACAAGTCTACCACTCTTAACCACTACACCACACTGGGGGAATCAACTCTTGGTATATGGATGGAAGATTGAGGTGAAATTGTGATGTTGTTGTTGTTTAGTCATTTAGTCGTGTCCGACTCTTCGTGACCCCATGGACCAGAGCACGCCAGGCACTTCTGTCTTCCACTGCCTTCCACAGTTTGGTCAAACTCATGCTGGTAGCTTTGAGAACACTATCCAACCATCTTGTCCTCTGTCGTCCCCTTCTCCTTGTGCCCTCCATCTTTCCCAACATCAGGGTCTTTTCCAGGGAGTCTTCTCTTCTCATGAGGTGGCCAAAGTATTGGAGCCCCAGCTTCACGATCTGTCCTTCCAGTGAGCACTCAGGGCTGGTTTCCTTAAGAATGGATAGGTTTGTTCTTCTTGCAGTCCATGGGACTCTTGAGTCTCCTCCAGCACCATAATTCAAAAGCAATTCTTCGGCGATCAGCCTTCTTTATGGTCCAGCTCTCACTTCCATACATCACTACTGGGAAAACCATAGCTTTAACTATACGGACCCTTGTTGGCAAGGTGATGTCTCTACTTTTTAAGATTCTGTCTAGGTTTGTCATTGTGAAATTGTGATAGAGGGACATATATAGACACATAATAAAAAGAAAATATAAAATACAATATTCATGAGCCTCATAAAACACAATTACAGTGGTACCTTGGTTCCTGAACAGCTTAGCTGGGAAACAAATTGGCTCCCAAATGCCACAAACCCAGAAGTAAGTGTTCCGGTTTCTGAACGTTTTTCGGAAGCCGGACATCCTATTCGGCTGTCGGCATTGTTTCTGGGGCCAATCAGCCAATCAGAAGCTGCACCTTGGTTTTTGAACGTTTTGGAAGAAGAATGGACTTCCAGAACGGATTGAGTTCGAGAACCAAGGTACTACTGTAGTTTTATGAGGATCATGAATGTTGCATTTTATATATATTTTTACATTATTCTTTTCCTTTGATATGTTGTTTGTAAATAGTTTTGGGTTTTATTGCTTAATATGTTAAAAACCTTTAATCAAATTCTATTTAAAAAAGAAAGAAGAAATTAATACATTTAAATTCCACATAAAAATTAAAATACATCTTAAACTCAATTACACTTGTATTAAAGCATGCATAGAACAATTTTGTGAATTAGTATCTTTGTTGTTGTTATCTTTGCTTGAAAAATTGGAAGTTAAAACAAAGAGAAGGTAAATCCAAAATGAACTTATTGCCCGTGTTCCATGAGTGGAAAAGATCTATTAGCCGAAGAGTAAGCCTTTTGCCTTTTGATATCTTTGAATCATGGAAATCTGGCTAGCAGCTTCTCCAGATCCCGATGAGAATTATGTCTGAGTCTAGATCTATGTTAATCACAATACCACCTCCTTAGTCATTAGATACATAAGTGACCCCCAAGGCACAGTCTGACCCCTTCTCTCCTTCTGTAATCTTCATAGAACTCTAGCCCAATGGTTGCCATTAATTTGACTCTGAATTGATTTTAGAATGAATTGATTTTAGAATGTATTTCAATTAACAGATTGTGATTTTATGTAAACTGTGTTATTTTTACTGTTGTTAGCTGCTCTGAGCCCGGCTCCGGCTGGGAGGATGGGATATAAATGAAATTATCATCATCATCATCATCTGTGAGTTTTGTTTCTTTTCAGAACTCCTACTCTTACCATGAAAAATCCTTAGCTGTTTTTCTCCACCCGCCCCCCCACCCAAAAAATAAGAATAGTAAGCGGCTTGGTCATTTCTGCTTTGAATAAGATTGAACTTGGAAAACAGCAACCTCCCCAAACCGCATTTGGAAAAAAAAAAATGACCCATAGCAATTTCCGCAGACAGAACCCCACCTAAAAGCTGAAACATTAGCAGTCATGAAGAGAATAGTGAAAACACTCCTTGAAACTACTTGGGTGTTAACTCACGTGGAAAACATGTATTTGGCAATGGATTAGAACTTTGTGAAAACAAAACGCATCATCTTCCTGGAAACCGTCTATAAAAACCCTGAAGAAACGTAGCAAGAACACTCGATTCCCTCAACGCAGAGACACTCCACTCGAGTTCTTTTCACTGCAGAGTAGGTAAGTCATGATGGAATATGTTTTAACTTCTACCAAGCCTATGGGCAATTTTGGGTTTCCTTCTCCCCAGCTTACCTTTTTGTTAATTAAAACATGAATAAATTCTGGCTCATCAGAATAGTTCAGCACCTAATATTTGTTCTCTCTGCTGGTTAATAGGTGGAAATGAAGAAGAAATAACTATCAGAGCCACTTCTTTTTCTGTTGAGGTGCAGATGCTACTAGTAATACCTTAGGATGGTGGTGATGCTCACACAGAGTCTAGGGTTAGTTGTGTATCATTGAGTGGAAGATGAGCATCAATGAAATGCAGTCAAGGGAGTGTAGATTTACCAATAATGATTAGAAATAACTGGTCATGTTCTTGGTGTCAGGTTTCCAATAGGCTATGATGATGATGATGATGATGATGATGATGATAATTTATTTATATCCTGCCCATCTGGCTGAGTTTCCCCAGCCACTCTGGGCGGCTCCCAATTAAGTGTTAAAAACAATACAGCATTAAATATTTTTTTTAAAAAACTTCCCTAAACAGGGCTGCCTTCAGATGTCTTTTAAAAATAGGATAGCTGCTTATTTCCTGGACATCTGCTGGGAGGGTGTTCCACAGGGTGGGCGCCACTACCGAGAAGGCCCTCTGCCTGGTTCCCTGTAACCTCAAATCTTGCAATGAGGGAACCACCAGAAGGCCCTCAGCACTGGACCTCAGTGTCTGGGCTGAGCAATGGGAGTGGAGACACTCCTTCAGGTATACAGGACCAAGGCCATTTAGGGCTTTAGAGGTCAGCACCAACACTTCAAATTGTGCTCGGAAACATACTGGGATGGAACATGTGCTCCAGTAACTTTTCTTATTGTATTTTTAAAAATAGATTGTATTTAATTAAGTTATATTGAAAATAAGCCAAGTGAAATGAATGGACTTAAGGCAGGTGTAGCCTTTGGATGCTTTGAACTACAAGCCCGGTTTCCTTGGCAATTGGCCAAGGTGGCTTGGGTTAGTGGGAGCTGTAGTCCACAGCATCAGAAGGACACCATCCCAGACCTAAATAGTCCCTGTTAAATAATCAGTGGATCTATGCTGAGTAGGACTAAGGTAGACTGATGTTGGCTTTGTGGAGGATAATGGTATCAGTGGCTACTGGCCACAATGCCTATATTCAGCATCCATTGTCAAAGCCAATATACCTCTGTGTGCCAGCTGCTGGGAACCACAAATGGAGTGATTTGCTATTGCACTCAGGTTCTCCTTTCCAGCTTCCAATTGGCACCTGGTTGGCCACTATAAGAGCAGGTTGCTGGATGAGAAGGGCCAATGGTCTGAAGCAACAGGGCTCTTCTTATGTCCATTACCTAATTTGTTTCATCAGTACTATACAATATAGGGATGTGGGTGGTGCTGTGGTCTAAATCACTGAGGTTCTTGAGCTTGCCGATCAGAAGGTTGTTCGAATCCCTGCAATGGGGTGAGCTCCCGTTGCTCTGTCCCAGCTCCTGCCAACCTAGCAGTTTGAAAGCACGCCAGTGCAAGTAGATAAATAGGTACTGCTAAGGTGTTTCTGTGTGCTCTGGTTTCCATCACAATGTCCCATTGCACCAGAATCGGTTTAGTTATGCTGGCCACATGACCCAGAAAGCTGCCTGTGGACAAACACTGGCTCCCTCGGCCTGAAAGTGAGATGAGAGCCACAACCCCATAGTTGTCTTTGACTAGACTTAACCATCCAGGGGTTCTTTACTATACAATGTGGCCTTAACCCCTTATTAGATTGTTTGTTTTTTCACCTCTGAAGATTTGCACATACATAAATGTCTGTTGGTGAACCTGAACACTGTGAAATTCATTCATTTCTTAATCATGTGTGCTTCATCCATTCCCTACTTGTATGTGTCCCTTCAGATCCACGAAACCAGTTCAGCCAAGATGTCTGCACAATATAACCAATGCTTCGCCAGCTGCCCTGCCTCCACCGTCACAATTCAGCCACCTCCCTTTGTCCTCACCATCCCCGGGCCAGCTCTGTACTGCCCTGACCAACCCTTTGGCATTGAGCAATGCAACCCTTGTGCTCGCATGATTTCCTACAATGAAGGTGCAAGCCGTGGGGGGTACAACTCCCGCCTGAGTTCTGCAAGCATCTATTCGCAGAAATTCCAGTCTGGATGCCAGAGTGGATGCAGCCCATGCCAGAGATTCTAAATCCCAAAACCACTGTCCACAGAATGTATATGACGAAGAAGACAGAGAAAGAAATGAATATGTTACATCCACTGAATGTATAGATGTGCTTTCTAGAAATGTATGTTCAACTTGTACAACCCCTGAGTTGCAGGCCAGGGATGAAAACTTCTATCTTCAAGAACCTGTTTTTGCATCTACTGGGAAACTCATCCACACCTGTCATCCACCGTACTGCAACACTTTGGACTCTGAGCCATGTTCTAAGGGCAAGAATATCACGTGTGGCCTCACTCCTGCCCTGTTTGAGCTGAGAAATGTGGCATACATGAAATCCAGTGCTCCTCTGTAGCTACAGTAGTAGGGGAAAGGTGTGTGGGCAAGCCTTCACCATAGAGACTTGTCCATTGCTGCTCACCTTCTCAGTTCCAAAACAACCATTGTAGGCTGTCTATTAAAATGTAGTGACATTGTTTAACAGGCTTTTCAAATAGTAAACTCTACTCAATGTTTGCAGGTGTTAGTCCTCTGTGTTGTCACAGGTTGCTTCATGTTACCTTAAAAAACACCACCACCACATTTCAGTGTCCTCATTGTCTTGTTAACCTGCCTTGCTAACCTATGCACATCAGTATTCAAACTGTGGGATTGTGTGTCTCTTCTCTTTCAAAATAAAGCCTTTACTGCATCAAAATTCCAAGTTCTCTGCTGTTCTTTTTCATATGATGTTTCTGAGGTAAAGCAGGGCTACTACTGCAGCCCAAATATAATCTGTCTGTGGCGTGTGTGTGTATAAATTCCTGGGTGTGTTAAAGTATGTACTTTTGTTTTAAGCATCTAAGAGCTGATCTAAGAGCTGAATATAGGGATGGGGGTGGTGTTGTGGTCTAAACCACAGAGCCTAGGGCTTGCCAATTGGAAGGTCGGTGGTTCGAATCCCTGCGACGGGGTGAGCTCCTGTTGCTCGGTCCCAGCTCCTGCCAACCTAGCAGTTCAAAAGCACATCAAAGTGCAAGTAGATAAATAGGTACCGCTCTGGCAGGAAGGTAAACAGAGTTCCTGGTTTCCCCATGCTGGCCATATGACCCGGAAAAACTGTCTGCAGACAAACATCGAAAGAACAACAGGTCTCCCTTCAAAAAACAATAATTGAAACTAATGGCACCTTTAGAGACACACACAAAAAAAGCTGGTCTCAGAACCTGCCTGGATGATACCACCAAAATTGAATCAAAAGCTATGAATCAGGTTATAATTAATGAAAAAAACTCTAAGGAAATTTTAAAAAGAGAATGCAGGCATTAAAAATTAGCTTAGAAGAAGCAGAAAATATACGTTAAGGCAATATGATTGGAGTCTGCATTGAATTAAAGAAGGGACTGAAGCAGAATACAGTGGTACCTCAGGTTAAGTACTTAATTCGTTCCGAAGGTCCGTCCTTCTTTTTTTTTTAAGATAATATTTATTTGAGTTTCAAAGAAGTTACAAAAAAGAGAAAAAGAGAAGGGGAAAAAAAGAAAAAGGAAAAAAAGAAAGAGAGCAAAAAATACAAAATACAAAAATATAAACAATTAAAAACATTTCCATCTTTCCATGTCTTATCTTTCATTAACTTATTTCCCTGACCTCCTCACACCTCCCTTTTTTGTATTCTAGTTCAGTTAAATATTTCAGCAAATCCTTTCTGCTTGGTTTTTATCCTAATAATTTATCTTAGTGTACTATAATTTTACATTCTCGTTTCACCACTTAAAAAATCAATTTTTACCTAATCTTTTATATCATTTCTGCTAAAACCACATTGCTTCATTCCAACATCCTTCTAACATTCCTGGATCTTGCAATGTTTCTGTAAATAAATTTTAAATTTTTTCCAATCTTCTTCCACCAACTCTTCACCTTGGTCTCGGATTCTGCCAGTCATCTCCGCCAGTTCCATATAGTCCATTACTTTCATCTGCCATTCTTCCCGAGTGGGTAAATCTTGTGTCTTCCAGTATTTTGCGATGAGTATTCTTGCTGCTGTTGTTGCATACATAAAAAAAGTTCTATCCTTCTTTGGCACCAATTGGCTGATCATGCCCAGGAGAAAGGCCTCTGGTTTCTTCTGGAAGGTATATTTAAGTACCTTTTTCATTTCATTATAGATCATCTCCCAGAAAGCCTTAATCCTTGGGCACGTCCACCAAAGGTGAAAGAATGTACCTTCAGTCTCTTTACATTTCCAACATTTATTATCGGCAAGTGATAGATTTTTGCAAGCTTGACTGGTGTTATGTACCACCTATATATCATTTTCATTATATTCTCTCTTAAGGCATTACATGCCGTAAACTTGATACCTGTGGTCCACAACTGTTCCCAGTCAGCCATCATGATGTTATGTCCAACATCTTGAACCCATTTAATCATAACTGATTTCACCGTTTCATCCTGAGTATTCCATTTCAACAGCAAGTTATTCATTCTCGACAGATTCTTAGTTTTGGATCTAACAATTCTGTTTCCAATTTTGATTTCTCCACCTGAAACCCAATTTTCTTATCCAAATTATAAACCTCCATTATTTGATAATAATGAAGCCAATCCCGTACTTTGTTTTTAGTTTTTCAAAGCTCTGCAGCTTTAATCTGTCTCCTTCTTGTTCCAATATCTCCCAATATTTCGGCCAATTGGCCTCCATATTGAGCTTTTTCAGAGCCTTAGCTTCCAATGGTGACAACCACCTAGGAGTTTTGTTTTCAAGCAGATCCTTGTATCTTATCCAAACATTAAACAAAGCTTTCCTGACAATATGGTTTTTAAATGCTTTATGTGCTTTGACCTTATCATACCACAGATATGCATGCCACCCAAATACGTTATTAAAACCTTCTAAATCCAAAATGTCTGTGTTCTCAAGAAGCAGCCATTCTTTCAGCCAGCAAAATGCGGCTGATTCATAGTAAAGTTTGAGGTCTGGCAGGGCAAATCCACCTCTTTCTTTTGCATCAGTTAATATTTTGAATTTTATTCTGGGCTTCTTGCCCTGCCAGACAAATCTAGAAATATCTGTCTGCCACTTCTTGAAACAGTCCATTTTGTCCAAAATTTGCAATGATTGAAACAAAAACAACATTCTTGGCAATACATTCATTTTTATCGCTGCGATTCGGCCTAACAATGAAAGCTTCAAATTTGACCATATTTCTAGATCTTTTTTCACTTCCATCCAACTTTTTTCATAATTATCTTTAAAAAGGTTCACATTCTTAGCAGTCATATTAACCCCAAGGTATTTCACTTTCTTAACCAATGTTAATCCTGTCTCTTCCTGAAACCTCTCTCTCTCAATCAGTGTTAGATTTTTCTCTAAAACCTTAGTTTTCAGCTTATTCAACTTGAAACCTGCTAACTGACCAAATTCTTGAATCAATTCCAATACTCTTTTAGTACTAGATTCTGGCTCCTGTAATGTCAAGGTCCGTACTTAACCTGAAACTGTTCTTAACCTGAAGCACCACTTTAGCTAATGGGGCCTCCTGCTGCTGCCACGCTGCCAGAGCACGATTTCTGTTCTCATCCTGAAGCAAAGTTCTTAACCTTAAGCACTATTTCTGGGTTAGCGGAGTGTGTAACCTGAAGCGTATGTAACCACTGTACCTTTAAAAAAAAAACTTTGGCAAATTTGCTTAATTCAATAGTACCAATTTTATATATTATATTGTATGAGATAGAAAAAGCCTATAGGGTCACAGTGGATGGATACCATATTACGGCCTCTCCCAGATACATTGTTCAGTGCTTCTCCCACTTTAACAAAAAATGAGGAAATAACACAAAAATTTTGTCAGGTTGGAACAGTCACATATGAAGATCCATCAATAGTATTACTGGAGGAGCTGCACTGCACCTTGGCCAAAAATAAATTACTGAGTAATATGTGATTCAGAGGTTAAACAAAATTGCTGTCTCTTGAAGAAAATTGGTCACTGTAGAAGTATTAGTTTGGCCCTTGGGAGCTTTCAACTCTACTTCACCTTTCTGTCTGGTGCTGGGGCAGTGGATGTGCTGGACTATTGCCCTGTCTCAATAAAGGACTGGATGAGAGGCAATAAACTGAAGCTCAATCCATGTAAGACTGAAGCACTGCTAGTGTGTGGTTCCCTAGACCAGATGGACGGGAGGTGGCTGCTCTTGACAGCAGTGGAGCAAGCCGATTGGGCGCCTGGGGCAGCACATGTGCCCTGTACCCAGGGGTGGGGCCAGCTGGGGCAGGACGCTCCACAGGGCCTCCGGGGAGTCTGCCTGCCTCCTCCCACTGCGCCGCCCTACAGTTGGGGGGGGGGAGGCAGTGGGCAGACCGCAGAGCCTGCGGGCGTCCAAGCCACCGCGTCACTTGGGTACACTGCAGGCCCCGTGGAGAAAATAATGTGTGATTTTGCTCTGTCTCCTTCGGGATTCCGGGGAGCTGATTAACGAATCTGGCATGATTCCCAGATCTTTTCAGTTCTTTCTAGTAAGTACCATAATAATTATGATTATTTGTCGGCAGTTTGCAGAAATCGATTATCTCCAAATGTGGCAGCCTTGAGTTTACGAGTCCGGAGTCAGTGTCATCCAGCAGAAGGGAGTGTTTTGGAGATTCTCTGCAGCTGCCCCCTGGGCTCGCTCATCAACAGTTCTGATAATCAAGAAGTTTCTCTTCCTTAATTTATAACTCATATCTTGTAAACTTTGGCTCGACCTTGCGTTTGGCACTGCCTAGCAAAGTGCTCAGCCCAGCCCACAGTTTAGGGGAGTTAGAACAATAAAACAATGAGATAAAACAATAAATTAAAGCAACAAAACGAAGCACTAAAAGGAATTAAGAAATGAAAAGGAAGAGAGGATAAAAACAAATGCTAAGGGTTGGTTATAGAGCAGAAACTTGCCTTAGAGTTGGCCTTTAAGCTCAAAACCCTGCTTCAAGTATTCGGCAGCCATCTTCGCCCCGTGGTGAGTGCCGCCCGACATTTTGTCACCCCCCTCAGTGGTGACACCCTGGGCAGACCGCCCTCACCGCACCCCCCTTCCTCTGCCCCTGACTCTTGATGGTGTTTTACACCCTCTGAAGGAGGATTGAGCCTATAAAGCCTCATGAAATTATTGCTGAGTCTGGATAGGTTCATATGGAGAGAGGTGGCCCCTGAGGTACTGTGGTCCTCAGGCATTCAAGGCTTTATAGGTCAAAACCAGCACTTTGAATTGGGCCCGAAAACAAACTGGCAGCCAGTGCAGTTGGACCAGGATCAGAAGAATATGCTCAAACCATCTTGCTCCAGTGAGCAGCCTGACGGACGAATTCTGCACCAGCTGGAGTTTCTGAACTGTCTTCAGAAGCAGCCTGTTCCTCTCTCCCCAGGCATATCCTTTGCCCTTTCATTTGAGACAAGAACAAAACCAAACCAAAAGTTTTAAACCCACAGATTAAAAGCCATTGAAAAACCATTTAAAACCGTTGGAGCCATAAAACCAGTAACACAGCCCCCAACAGGAGACTCTAGACCAGTGGTTCCCAACCTTTTTTGGCCATGCCCCACCTAAGCACCTCTAAAATCCTGATTCCCCCTCCCCGTCGGAGCACTACTCCCCCTGAATGCACCCAGTGTATTTTCTGGGTAGATAACCTTTTCTGTTTAGATAACCTCTCCATTGTCACCAGCTGACCACCGA